CGTTTGTATATGCGATAGCACCCTTCTCCTTGGCGCTTTCCTCGAAGTTGCGAGCACGGCGCCTCTGTGGCCCGTGTCCAGAATAACTCTCGGAAAAATCGGTCTATAAAGTCTTCCCTAATGGGAGGAACAATCTTGTAACCTATTAGACATGATTAAAAAAGCGCAAACTTGACAAGGGCAACAAAGAAGGCACACGTACAACAGAACTGGCGCTTACTTCCAACTAAGTTTATTTCATCATCAACCAAGCAATATTTACCATCGCCAGCTGTTTTTATGTTCGCTGGCAATGGTATATATTGCTTGGTTGATGATGAAATAAACTTAGTTGGAAGTAAGCGCCAGTTCCGTTGTACGTGTGCCTTCTTTGTTGTCCTTGTCAAGTTTGCGCTATTTTAATCATGTCTAGTAAGAACCAACTAGCCCAAACAAAAGTCGTTTTACAACTTGTAACCTATGTTCGCTCAGAAAGGCAGAAACTTTTGTCCGTGAAATCAAGGGAGCAAAGTTCTTCCCCCATCTGCATTTAAGTATGGCGGCCCCGAATTGAGCAAATCGAGCTGGACGAGGCTCAATGATGGCGTCGATAATTATACGGACTGCTACCACAATTGAGCCAAACGTAGTTACCACTGGAAATGCCTAGTGATACTGTCGGATTCTGACCGACGGTCGTCCAGAAGCCGACAGTCAACGGTACACTACCCGGTTATAGCGCAAAGGAAATTTATTTCGCACCTCGTCGGCCTCGCTGTACGATTTTGTTCACTGCAAATTTTCTAAACTGTAAATATACGTATATCCCACCGCTTTACGGAGAGATGCATGCTTCTCTTCCGTCGTATATTAAGTGTGTATAGCCCTTCGAAAGCGCAGTCGCTCTCGGTGAGGAGACAAACGGGCATCGCAGACGACAGTTACGTTCGTCAGTCTGCGATAAATGCCAGACCACCGTTTCACAAGACTATCCCCATGACGGTCGATTGTACTGTTATCACTCAAGCGGTCATCTTAAGGCCCGTTCATACGATGCATTTTTCTCGCGCATCTAGTGTCACGAAACGTAGTTTCACGAAATGGTTGCGCCGTCTGGACGAGTCCGGAAAGGACGCGCGTCCGTTTCGGACTCGTTCAGACGGCGCAACCATTTCGCGAAAATACGTTTCGCGACACTAGATGCGCGAGAAAAATGCATCGTGTGAACGGGCCTTTAAGTCCTTAATGTGAAACAGATGTAAACCCTCTACCATACGTTTTCTAATCTAAACACCACTGGCACGCAAAGCACATGAGCGTTGGTGGCAATTTCAGTCTCCATTCGCAGCGCGCAACACTGTCATGGCGATGATGATGAAAGCGGACATAAAAAAAAAAAAAGTTGATCGTCAGTGGGCACTTGGTAAGAAAAAGCAGAACCGAACGTGGCGCAGAAGTCGCGCAGGAACCCGGCAGCGAAACCTGCCTGTCTTGGGTGCAAAGTTGCATAACGTCGTTGCCAACATATGTAGATCTATCGGTCGACAAGCTCCACGGAGAGGCGGTGTTCGTAAACGGTTCTCCTCCGTTGCCTGCATGCGATAAAATTGTCCAGTACTAGCAGATTAACCCGCCAAATGTTTGGGAGATATTAGTGGCGAGATGTTTTGTTGGCGACCTCCTATGGTTCGCTCTCGTGATGTCATCACCTTGCGAACAACGAGTTGGATGGTGTTTTTAATCAGCATGGTGGAAGCTTGAGATCATTGCGTTCTCAAAGCAACACTGCCAACACCGTCAAAATTCAAGCTCTTACATTCTCCTCATTTCCGTCGATGAGAAATCCTATCCTGACCTCACAGTCAGCATGCGGCCAATCGTGTAAGGCCGATCACAGCGACGCTTTCGATCGCGCACGTCGCCAATAGTTCATAAACAGTCAAAAGGTAATCTATAAAAATACCCCGAAGCATAAAACTTCCTACAGGGTATTTTAAGCATTTCTTTGGAACACCTATGCCAACTTACGAGTGCTTACAAAAGAATGTAAAGAGAAGACCAAGTTTCCAGAAGAAGTGGCGAAGCACGGGTACACCCCAGCTGTACTAAAAAGCACCAAAACAATCTTCAGTCGGTAGTACTTTAGATAAAAATGATTGCGTCTCCGCGACAAATATCATAGACCCATAGATCCCAAGTCTTGAGCAGCGCCCCTGGCGAGCAAAATCGGACAGTTTTAAGTGGCGGTTCCTTGATGCCTCGCCTTGCGTACCCTTTCAAACGCCGTTTTAGTGCACCTTGAGAGACACAGAGGGAGGGATCCTAATAAACGCTAGCGCGCTTTCGCGGAGCGTGCATGATGGGACGCTGGGACGTCGCTTCACGTCAACATTAAGCTCGCGCTGCAGAACCCAGGGATCCTGGGTTCGAGCCCCACCCCTGCCCGTTTCGATCTGGATGAGCATCGTACCGGCGTGCGGTTGTGTATCACTACTGCGTGATGCACGTCAAAGCCCTCAGGCTAGCGGCTGTACCGCACTGGCTAAATTTCTCATCTACAGCTGGGAGACTCGTCGCCCCTGTGAGGCAGACTAAGTTCTAGGCTGTATAAACATAATGCAGTTAAATGCAAAGGTGCAAGCGAGCTGGACAATAATGATGAAAATAATCCCTGGAGAAGGGGAACAAGAGGGACAGAGGACAAACACAAATCTCCAAACACAGCTAGGTGACTGGTGAGCGACCGAAAAAATCCGCCTGGTCCGGGTATCGAACCCGGGACCTGTCCATTACAAGTGGAGTGGTCTACCAACTGAGCTAACCAGGGGTTAGACGCCAGTAGAGCAAACGGGTTTTATCAGCCGCCACCAGTCGAACACCAACAAGGGTGAAGCTTGCAATTTAAAGTTATAATTATAATGCAGTTAAATGCAAATGTGCAAGCGAGCTGGACAATAATGATGAAAATAATCCCTGGAGAAAGGGAACAGGAGGGACAGAGGACAAACACAAATCTGGGTTTGTCCTCTGTCCCTCTTGTTCCCCTTCTCCAGGGATTATTTTCATCATTATTGTCCAGCTCGCTTGCACCTTTGCATTTAACTGCATTATAATTGTAACTTTAAATTGCAAGCTTCACCCTTGTTGGTGTTCGACTGGTGGCGGCTGATAAAACCCGTTTGCTCTACTGACGTCTAACCCCTGGTTAGCTCAGTTGGTAGAGCGCTCCACTTGTAATGGAGAGGTCCCGGGTTCGATACCCGGACCAGGCGGATTTTTTCGGTCGCTCACCAGTCACCTAGCTGTGTTTGGAGATTTGTGTTTGTCCTCTGTCCCTCTTGTTCCCCTTCTCCAGGGATTATTTTCATCATGTATAAACATACACACAACCCAATTTTTTTGTCAACATTAATATGTTCCTTCTCATGCACACTACAGGAGGCGTCCTCCTTGAGGTCGCTGATAAATTCGCAACGCTCTCCACAATAGGCGAGGGAGGCAAAAGTCTGCTCAGTGGGACGCACTCCAAATTAACGAGCGGACGACGGCATTTTTGGAGCCACCAGCTTGACGCAGACGGTTTGCCGTTCATAATGGCCACTCGTCGAACCTGACAAGCCGACTGAGCTTTCCGACACTGCCACTGTCCAGCTGCGAAAAAAACATGTTGCGTAGACTGGGTTCATTGTCTGTTCCACGGGGCCCATTTCACTGATAGCGAGGAAGACGGCCGCTTTTGGAAACGTCCCTCAACCTTCAGCCGCCTCGGAGTGGGCGGCGCGTGATCGCCATCCGTGGAGCTCAGGTCTCTTCTTAAAAAAAAAAAAACTCGTCCCGAAGCATTTACGATGGCTAAATGGCGCACAAAAACGCCGAAGATACGCCATGTCCGGGACGAGCTTAAGTATCCATCCAGAGAGACTTTTGTTAGATACAGTGCCTTTTGTTCCGGATCAATTCTTTGTTTTGATTTGTATACTTGTATCAACCCCGATCTTTTGGAGTGACGGGTCAGTCTCTCAAAAATAGATCACCCTATTATGAAAATGACTTATACAACTTAGATCTACTTTGAAAACCTTATATTCTAGGTGTTTTCTACCTTTATTTTTATGATAGTACCACTCCCGTTGTAAACTCAACAGATAACGGGGAATGTTTAAATATATACTTTAATTCCTCATAGTATTCATGTCTCGCTGCATGGTATTAACCTACTGAAAAAAAAAAAAACACATACGACCCATATCTCACATTCCCACACAAAGGAGCCATATAAGAAACAATTTAAATCATGTAAATTTCTGTTTTGATATTAGCCTAAGGTTTCGGCCTAAAAAAACACGTTTACGGTGCACAAAAAATAAATAAAATTTAGGTGACAGACAATATCTCAGAACCGTTATCAGCGGACTTCATAACTTTAGCTGGTTCAATACACATATACTCGTATAATACGTGTATTATAGCCATAAAACTCACAAAATATTGTCAATGCTGGGCGTCATATCTGTTTAATGCATCGATGCTTTAAAATTATACAAGACAACTTAAAAGACAGCCGTTTATGTGCCACCTGAGAGAGAAAGTATAGTATGCAACCATGGACAAGCATAAAGCGACATGTAAGTTCTTCACTGAGAAATAATAGCATACAATGTCATGTGAATTTTTTAAAAAGGTGTTTCGGAACATAGATGATATGGATAGATGTTTTTTGTCAATAGGGAGTTTCTCTGCAACTAAAGTGAAATAGAGTTCGGAATGACCAACCAATATCAGTTGCACGGCGCTTTGTCCGGACCTGTATGTCGATGACTTGCCTCGGAGACCCCGAGGCTGCAGGGCTGCGAAGTGGTTCTAACATCCTGCAACACTTATCTACCCACCAGTCACAAGGGACGCCTAAGGACAATGAGTCTAATCTTTGTACAAAATAAAAAAAACGTTGTCAGAGTATCAGGGCAGTACTCAGACAGACAGTAGTGCTGGGAGTAAGTTACAAACAATTATGCTCGCAGGTGACGAATGGAAAAAAGTGCGCACGCTCCTCAACCCGGCGTTCAGCACAGCGAAGATGAGGCTGATGATGCAGACCATCAACAAGTGCGCCGATGTGTTTGTGGACATATTGACTGAATCTTCCCAAAAAGGAGAAGTCTTGGAGATGTACAAGGTGGCCCAAGGTCTCTCACTTGATGTCATCACAAAATGTGCTCTGGCCTGGCAGGTAAATATACATGGCGTCTAATCAGAATACCGGATAATATGCTACTGCTAGTTTTACTGTCCACTGCAACTAGAGGGCAGAAGCTTGCACTAACGCTGGGACATTTTGCTGAAAAGTGCATTCCTAAATTTCAGCTGAACGGTCTAGTATTATCCGGGCAGCATTTTACTGCAGAGAACGGTGCTGCTTATGCAGGACTGTGAGGGGTTGTTTGGAGCATTCTTGATATTGAACCTTGAAACCTCAGATTTCCTGAGTGGTTTTCTTTGAGGAACAAAAGGTAACGAAATAACACCGAAAATTTCAATCGCAACATTGACAGCTTTCACGACATTGACACGTGAGGCCGTTCCTTTTTGGGCTGCGTATGTGTCTTAATATATATTTTAACATTTCAAGAAAGAATATCAAGAAATAGAGTTATTCTTTCATGAGAGAGCGGCTTCATTTATTTTAAGCCGGAAATTTTGAACTTCGGAATTATTAGACGTGCTAGAGATTTCGAATTAGCTTGTGGGTTCAAAAACGAAGTTGCACATGAGTTCTTCCATCTGGTAAATATTAAGAATTGCAAATAACAACACAACTCTAGTATTATTCTTATTATTTTATCCTATTTAATATAGGATTCTTTATTATCACGAAGGTTAAAGAGTTGTCGTTTGCAAATCTACAAAAGTAATACATTGTTGTTAAACATATCAGGCCGCTTTAACAAGAAGATGGCGCTATCAAAACGAAGGACAAGATATACACTTGAAATCTGTCACCCAGTTATTTTTAACATACGCGTAATTTCTGTACCTAAAGCCCACCATAAATAGCCTTCGTCTTACAGCGACTACATCCGTTAAATACACAACGCTAGTCTCTACAGTGTCCTTTGAGCGACACGTGATTTCAGCACCATTCGGTTAGCCAATGCAGCGATTACCTATTTCTGGTTAAGGTGGCATTTACAGAGCAGAGATGTTGCCTTTTTGGAAACGTGTTGATTGGCCATCCCGTGACCGACGTATTTGTCGTTGCCGATTTTGTTTTTATTAAGTGCCCAGCTGAGAGCCTTTTCCTGCGTGCACTTATTTTACTTTGCCCTGTTCTTTTTTTGTTTCCTTTTTGCGCGCTGTCTGCCCAGTTGTTATTACGTATTTTGTAAAGATGCAGTCAATGTGTCTTGAAAATTGAATGAGTTAATATCCTGTGTTTTTGCTTTCAACAAAACAGGTGGACTGCCAAAAAAATCCGGACGATCCTCTGCTCAAAGAACTTAAGAACATATTTCGCAATACCAGCAATGTTGGAGCGAGAATTTCTTTTTGGTTCCCAGCACTTAAACACGTAATCGAAATACTTCACAAAAAATGGCAATTTATGGTCACCCAAGAAAATATAATCGCCAACCTACGCAACGTAATCTCTCTTCGACGGCGGGGTCAAGCGCCTTCAGTACCAGATCTTCTTCAGTTGATGTTGAACTGCCAGTCGGACGCCAGCAACGCTAAAGACCACACTGATCAGAAAAACCTGCTCCTTGAAGACCGCATGCTTATCGCTAACTGCTTCATCTTCATCTTAGGCGGCTTGGAAACGACATCGCTGGCCTTGGCTTACACCTTGTTCCTCCTCGCCAAGCACCCTGAAGAGCAGGACAGACTTTTCCAGGAGCTCACAGACATGTTCCCTGGCAACCAAGAACTCAGTTCAGACGACCTCCGCAAGCTGAAACGTCTGGACATTGTGTTCAAAGAAAGCTTGCGCTTGTACCCACCCACCGTGGCATTTGTGTCTCGTACTTGCCGGCGAGACATTACGGTGATGGGCCAGTTCATCCCGTCAGGTACCAGCGTCACAGTCCCTGTGTGGCACCTTCATCACGACGCTGATTACTGGCCGGACCCTTTCAAGTTTGACCCGGAGAGATTCAGCGAGGGTCAAGAGAGGCACCCACCCGAAGCGTACGCTCCGTTCGGCTTGGGACCTCGTGCCTGCATTGGCAGCCGCCTTGCAATGCTCGAGCTGAAAGCAACTCTAGTCAAAGTGGTGCGAAGGTTCAAGATTCTGCTGTGTGACGAAACGCAAGATCCACCCAAGATTCGCATCCCGCTCTCCTTGACTTTGCCTGAGAATGGAATACGACTGAAGCTGGACCGTAGAGACCCATAAACAATCGTTGTCAGTCTCAGCAGAGCACGATTATTTACAGGTGTGGACAATGTGTGGATGGTGCAACACAACGCTACAAGTACTCGTGTCGTACGAATCAAGCCTTTGAGTTTCCAGCACATACCCGCAGTGTCAGTGAACTTGTGTTTTGATATTTACCTTCAGTTGAAGTAGAAAGTGTTCCAATTTATGCACCCTAAAAAATCCTGTTATTATGGTCAACCAAAGGGTCATCCGTGTATAGCTGAGGTCGCTGTTTCCCTAAAATTCTACGAACCCAACTTAATAAACTTGCTGAATACAATAAAAATGACGCCTCCTGATTTGGTTACACAATTTTGCCCCTCCTCCCGGAGAAAGTTCATAAACATTTATCGAACATTTTTATTCGAAACGTTGCAAACCCTTATAATAAAGGTTTAAAATAACAATGAATGTTCTTTATATACAGAACAACGTAACATATGCAATTTTCGTCAGATAATACGAATTGGAAGTAACATAATTGGAAGTAACTATCAAGTATGAATGAAATGCGAACAACGAAGCTCGTGGCCATTGATAGCTGCTGCGCAACCTATTGGCCGCTTTGTGATAGGAACTGATAAAACTGCGGAGTGGAGAGGCCTACAGAGGTGAACACCACAGGGGGAGGCGTGCACCCTCGCAGCCTGTTTTCCTTCCCGCTGTTTTACAATTCCCTAGTTTACTTTAGGTAGCGTAGCCTGTATCAAAGGACACGCGCACCGCTTTTCGCATTTCTTTCGTACATGGTAGTACAGCGACCTGGAGGATGAAATCTTAAACAACAAAAACAGGTCGGAATAAGTTGCACTGGAGTAGCGAACGCAATTCTAGGAGCATGCGCAGTAGGATGATACGGGGCGGTACCTCATGAGATAGGTTTTGCTAGTTTTAACAAAACCCTGGGCTTGTCGAGTTTCCAGTATCTTGTTTTTACGGCGCAGTTAATAAGATTGCGGGATGAAGAAAAAGAAGAGAGCACAAAGAAAAAAGCATTTCGTCAACTCTTCGCCCTTTTCAGCTTTCTGTAGGTATAGGTGTCAAGACAAATTATGATCACGCAGTACTGGCTTTGGTGAAGTTTCCTCCCTTCCCAGTTTTTATCAGAATTATTTTTGAAATACGGCCGAAAATAACATATTGATCCGATAGACGCAGGTAATAGGAACTATACGTGTTTTTAAGCTGTCGAAAGACCACCCCGTGGAGTTCAAAAGATGCAATGGTAAGTAAATTAAATATAGTAAGTTATATTCCGGGTAATGGAATTTAATGAAAGTAGAATTTAAAAAAAAAGGAAGAAACTGAACTGCTAGCTGAATGTCGATCGTCATCGCGAGGTGTTTTTCGAGTTTGGCGGATATTAGCTCAGGGAACAGTCGTCATGGTAAGTTGGCTAATAAACTTTTTTTAACTTTTTTTTTTTTTAACTGTTAACTTTTTTTTTTAACATTGGGGTTACGAATCGTGTTGTAATTGAAGAAATGACAGTAATTACTATTAGAGGCCAGCAAAATGAAAAGAAGTTGCAAACTAGAATTAGTTTTGCAAATATCACTTCTCCAGATTTCACGTTATTTGGCCAGATTTAAGACTTCCGCCCATAAAGCGCGCCGCAAGCCCTGCCCATAATGACGCTCAGAAGCGCGACCACGTTGTCGTGTTTCAGGTAGGACGAATGGAAGCGAGACGTTCGTTCCTTGGCCCCAGCCAAGCAAGTAATTCCCTTTTTTCGTGTCAGTTCCACCGACTAGAGTTTCTTCTCTCAGGAGCAAGGGTACGCATGCGCCCGCTACGTGCAAGTCAGCTTGCGTCGCTCAGGCGACGCATGGTTATAAATAAACTGTCCGTACCCTTTACTACAATTATCAAGACACCATTACACCACATCCCCCTTTTTCAAAGTAAGGCACTATATGTACAAAACAAGAAATATTTGGCGATCAATGGGTTTCATCGGATGGAAAAGCGCTAGCAATAGTTCTTCCTTACCTCGTTTTCCCCCCTTTCCGTTTGTATGTGACCCCTTTCCATTTTTATATCATCGCATCCATATCACTCGTGGAGGAAACCGCATTCGCCGTTTTCTGCACACACACATATACGAGTATCACAGCCCGTGCACCGCTAGTACGGAAACCCAGAACGGAGAAACTCCGGCGTCGGCAAAGCGGCCACTAAGCACGCCCGCACTCCACTGTGCCGAGGCGCCATTAAGTAGTACATGATACGTAAAGGGTGGCTGGCGCATTGGTGCCCAATTACTCATGGATTCGTAATATTAGTGCCATCAAAAATTGTTCTCCGTGAACTTACATGTTTCTCAAACTATTAGTAGCTTCGAACTTTTTCATAAATTACAACGACTGCTACCGGGGCTTTGGCAAGACGCACGACTTGGCAGCCACTATAACAGTAGCGAAGGGGGCGGATGCGGCATGCTGTTGGTATCATTGTGTGGATTTCTTGACGTTCCTTCTTTGTTACGAACGTGAGACGGTTAAAGTGCAGCCACGATGAGAGTCTTTTAAGCGTCTCTTGAGCGTGAGCTTTGCCGTCGAAAAGCTCTTTTCTGTTTCCCATAAATTCGAGCGAGAAGACGCTCCAAACAAGTAACGTGTTGCCTTGAACGGTGCTTTCACTTCACGAGCGTGCGTGAATTACAGGTTCGATTGAAGCGTCGTGCTCGCTCTCGTAGCTCCGCCTTCGCAACAAAATGTTCGTTTGGGATAGTTGGTTCATGACCAGATTAAAAACAGATAAAAACCTAAATAAAGCAAAACAAAAACTGGATAGAAGCGCCTTCGGTGCTTCTATCCAGTCCTCCTTTGTTTCCATTTACGGTGGAATGGAGTACAAAGTTCTAAGGGCAACTAAAGCACAGTTATTTGTGTTATGGTTGTCTTTGTGATCATAATAAATATTTGTGCATTACTCGATTTTTTTTGTTCAGTTGTCTCTTGTTCTTTCATGGTTAGTTAAGTGCTTTTAATTTTATTTGCATTTTGGGCGTGCTCTGCTCTTGAATTTAGAATTTACGCGTGCATTTAAAGGGCAATTCCGGTTTATAGTTTCGATTTTGTGGTTAGCGCAGTCAGCGTCCCTGAATTACGAGGTGTAATTTTTTTCTTGATATTGTGCGTAGATTTAAAGATATCGGCGCCTCAAAGTTTCATTTGGGGCATGGTCGACAACACCGAAACTAGCCGCTCGAGGACCCGGCAACACTGGAGATCAGTCGCCAGGCAGACTTGACGCCATGGTCGTTCTCGTTCAACAAGTACGCGGTCCAAGCGGCACCTACCTCTGTTGCGCTAGCCGTTTATGCATGAAAGGTAAGCGACTTTCGTTTTAATACTGTATACGTGGCAGATATCCAGCATATATAGCACGAGTTAGTGGGTATAACCAAAAGCTAGCGACTGGCAGGCGAGTGAAGTCGTTCGGTTCCGGTGTAGGGCGCCGATTGACCCCGTAAGTGATGACGTCACAACATGGCGTCTGGGTTCAAACAAACCGTTGCTAGGGACGTTGCCATGGACTAATGCATGTAGACTCCACACGAGGCTAGATTCTCGCTTATAAGTAAGTAAATAATTTTTTGTAAGCAACCTAACTTTTTGATAACTAATTATGAAGATGTTCTTGACGTTTCAGTGTCGTATTGCAACGATGAAAGCCATTTCTGAAGTATTCCACTCCGCTTTGCTTTGGTAGCAGACGACACGATAGGTTCACTGGCCTCTGTTGCAGCGGGCGTCTTCATTGAATTGCGTCGGTAAACGAGGAACACAAGCAAGTGCATCGCCAAGGCCGCAGAATCCTCCGCATTGCGCGTTTTTTTCTGTGAAGAACCCAGCTTAGTTCAGAGGGGCGAAAATCCCGAAAAATGAAACCACGTCATGTTACGACGACGACCTGAAATGCATTACCGGCGTAGTGCATGAGAAACAAATCGTACGCCGTTAAGATAAGTAGTTTGTTATTATTATTATTGAGGCTGTCAGGTTATTAAAATATTGCATGTCTATCGCAATTTCGCAATTATTATTATTTTCTTTTGTATACATTAAAATTAGTAGATGTGCTCTTTCGGCGACGATCTCCATCGAACCCGCGATGAGAGTACAATCTGTAATAAACTCACCTTATGTTTTTTATCCAGTTCTTTCGCGTTTTGGGGTTTTGCGTAAATCTGAAGAAACTGCAATAATCTTTCTCCACGCGATGATTACAACCAGGTACGAAGCACCCTCCAATAGCGCGAGTCCGCAAAGAAAGTTTGGGATCTCTATCGATTGCCTGAAGTGCTTTTCTCACGGGTGCAATGCGATCTTTTGCAGACGATCATCTCGATCGACGCCCGGACTTTCGATAAACCATATTTGGCATCGCACCCCACTGTGAATTCTTATAAGTGTCTGAAACTCATTATATTTCAAACAAATTCAATATCAGAATATCGTCTTTATTCACCGGATTCAGACGCCGGCGCCGGCTTGGCCGGCGGGCGTGTGGCAGACGGCATTCTTCTTGCATTCGTCGTCTGCTGCAGGCATCTTAAGGACCGGAAGTTTCAGTAGTAAATATTTCGGAAAGAAGCGATTACCGGCACACTTCTGTCGAAACATATATGACATTCAAGCTTTCTATATCTGTAATTTTTAGAAGTTTAAATCCTATTCCTGATTTTTGAACGGTCGGGTTTTCGTCGCGAATCCTACCCACATGTATTTGTCCATTACAACGACCCTAGCAACGGTTTGTTTGGATCCATGACGTCACACTTACGGAGTCAATTTTGGCGTGCGCCAAAATCAAAACCGTAGTCGTTTATTCCGCTGAAACGGCGGAAGTAACTTTCTGCGCCAAATCACCCTGATTGTTTGATGTTTGAATAATCGGTGGAACGCGCGCGCGGCAGGCGTTGATTAACTTCATACCCGGGGTCCGTCGCCGTGCGTGCGCTTGTCCGTACCAGGCCTCTCGCTTTCGCGCTGGGTGTCAGTCCCAGACACGAAGCTTTGGGGCTCTTTGGAGCGGGCCGCGGCGTCCGAACACGCGTGTGCTTGGCTATATACGTTTGTTTTTTCGTGTTTTTTTTTTCCTCAGGCGCGTAAAAAGCGAATTTGTAAGCTATGACACAGTAATTCGCTACATAAGTTCGTCTAGGTGGTGGATCTAATTGGTGAAAATATCAAAGAAAAGGCTTGACGCACTCAAAAGTTACAACAAAAAAAAAATTGTGAATGGAGCCAGTTAGTGGTTGTAGTCAACATGCCCACC